TGACAGAAACAGCTCTTTTTCAAGGACAGCTGTGCCAGAGCTTGTGACTGACCCAAGGTCACATCAGCAGGTGCAAGTGGAGGAGTGGGGAATCAAACCCAGTTCTCCCACATTAGAGTCCGCGCACTTAACCACTACACCAAACTGGCTCTCTTCCAATCTCCAATCTCTTCTTCTTCTCTGCGTTGCAGCGGGATCACCAGATTAGAAAAGTATTGTGCCATACTGTTTCGTACATATCTGTGGCCAAGGGAAAGGGGGGATCAAGTGCCCCCAGCACCTGCCTGGATTGTTTGGGCTCACTGGAAAAGACAATAACGCTGGGAAAAGCGGAAGGCGGCAGGAAAAGAGGAAGACCCAAGAGGAGATGGATGGGCTCGAGCAAGGAAGCCACAAAGGCCCTCTGTTTGCAAGACCTGGGAATGGTTGTTGACAACAGGATGTTTTGGAAGACGTTTATTTATTTATATTTATTATTTCAGATTTTTATCCCGCCCTCCCGGCCGGGGCCGTCTCTGGGCAGCTTACATCAAGACAAATAATTACATTAAAAACAAGTTGAGGTTAAAACAATGATAAAATCATAATAAAATGCTAGTAATTGTTGGTATTCGTCTCACGGTAGCAGCCGGTATACAAAGTTCTCAGCTGCATTCGGCTCTCGGTATTTATTTAGATGTCCTTACAGGTTCGCAGTTCCCTTAGGCTGTTGACGGTGGTATCCAGAGTCCAGGTCCTCTCCCTTGCGCCAGCCGATGTTCTTCATTGGTGGTGGTGGCCCCCAAAAGCCTGGCGGAAGAGCTCCGTCTCACAGGCCCTGCGGAACTGCAGCAGGTCCCGCAGGGCCCTGGTCTCCTCTGGGAGCGCATTCCACTAGGATGGGGCCACCGTCGAAAAGGCCCTGGCTCTGGTCGTTGACAGCCTCGCTTCCTTAAGACCCGGGAGAGCCGGCTGATTCTGGGCCCCTGACTGCACTGCTCTCTGGGGTCACCCAGATCAATCACCCCGATAATCCAGGTCGGAAGGTGGGAGAGGTGTTCCAAAGAAGGGCCAGTTGGAGTCGGGATGCAGAGGTGCAGAGGTGCGATGCAGACTATAATCAAGGGGTGGAACGCATGCATTGACTGAAGGGGATCTCACTAGATAATCTCACTCCGCTTCTGCACTGCAAATGCGTTGGAGTTCATTGAACCATCCCCGTGTGCACTGGAGTGCATCATATGGCTGCTTCTTTGCCAGCAAGTGGGACTGCATCAAACTAGGACAGGAAGTGAGGTTTTGCGGCCCAAGCATCGCTTTCTTCTTGACTCTGGTCCTGAGGACAGGTCTGTCCAGTTCGGAGGGGCAGGGTCCTGAGCTTGTACTGACGCCGGTATTCCCCGTGCCGTCTTCTAGGTGGTTATTACCTCACTACCTGGTTCGGGGTCCTCTATCACATCGCGAACTTCCAGCCGGCCGCCATGGTGACGCGCCAGATCAGCATCGAGGCCCAGCGGTCCATCCACCAATGGCATCGACGCCGCACAATCCATCACCATCATGGCTACCGGGGCCATTCACAGGTAATGTTGGTGGATGTGAGAAGGGGGACCGGCAACAGCTGGGAAAGAATCCACGGCTGCCGGGACTGACAGAAGTCCCTGCTGCTTGTCCCAAATGGGCAGTAGGTTCAGGATGGAGAAAAGGAAGTACTACTTTACACAGAGGGTGATTAAAATGTGGACTTCGCTGCCAGTGGATGTCATGATGGCCAGAGGAATAAGCAGCTTCAAAAGGGGATTAGATAGATTCATGGAGGAGCGATCGATCACTGGCTACTAGCCGTGGTGGCTGAGGGGAACCTCCACATTCAGGGGAATTAATCCTCTGAACCCCAGAGCCAGAAGGCAACATCAGGGGAAGGCCTCGGCCTCTCTGCCCTATTGTTGGCCCTCCAGAGGAACTGGTTGGCCCCTGTGTGAGACGGGATGCTGGACTAGATGGACCCTCACTGGTCTGATCCAGCAGGGCTCTTCTGGTGTCCTTCTCAGGGGAAGGCCTCGGCCTCTCTGCCCTGTTGTTGGCCCTCCAGAGGAACTGGTTGGCCCCTCTGTGAGACAGGATGCTGGGCTGGATGGACCACTGGTCTGATTCAGCAGGGCTCTTCTTATGATCTTACAAAGGCCTCGGCCTCTCTGCCCTACTGTTGGCCTTCCAGGGGAACTGCTTGGCCTCTATGTGAGACAGGAGGCTGGACGAGATGGTTCTCTTTAGCAGTCAGGGCTCACAACCACCAGTGGACCACTCCTCCAGGCGTTTATCTAACCCCCTTTTACAGCCCGCAAAGCTTGTGGTCATCATTCCATATTGCAGCAGTGAGTCCCACAAGTTAACTGCATCGTGCCAAGTGCCTGCTTGGGGTGGGGGGCTGAGGCTCAGTGGCAGAGCCTCTGCTTGGCAGGCAGAAGGTCCCAGGTTCGATCCCCGGCATCTCCAGTTAAAGAGGGCCAGGCAGCACGGGATGGGAAAGACCTCTTGTCTGAGACCCTGGAGAGCAGCTGCCAGTCTAAGTAGACAATACTGTTGCAGTGTCAGGAAGGAATTTCTCCTCCAGGCCAGATTGGCCCAGGGATCCTAGAGATTTCTTTGCCTTCCTCTGAGCACAGAGCTGGGGTTTCCGGGAGAGGAGGAGGGGAGGGAAGACGGGTGTGAATTTCCTGCATTGTGCAGGTCGCTGGACTAGATGACCTTGGAGGCCCCTTCCCACCGGTGTTTCTATGATCTCCTTCCCTCTGCTTCCTCGCCTCCCACCCCAGGCCCCGGGCCTTCACCGTCAGGCCAAATCTGCTCTTTGAGAAGCCGCGTGTTCCCCCTCGTAACCCCTTTTCTCGCCCTCCCGCAGAACATCCTCTTTGTCTCCTTCCACGAGCCCTTCAGCAACCAGAAGTCCATCTCTACCCTCGCTGACATGACCACGGCGTCGATATGCGAAGTGTGTGCCAAGAAGTACGGCGTCCCCGATCCCGAGGCCTACGGCCTTTTCCTGGTGTCGGGGGACTCGTCTCAGCTCCTGGCAGATGACACCTGTCCCCGGCGGCTCCGCTCGGACATCCTCCAAGCCCAGGGCCCTCCCGTGAGCTTCATATACAAGCCCAAAGGCGGGGCGCAGCCTGACTCGGGTCTCCGGTCTCTCCAGAACCCAGGTAGCTCGACTGAAACCCAAGAACCCTTCGAAGGCATGGACACGGGGCAAACCGTGGCGGACTGAGTATCGGCTTCCCAGAAACCTTGTTTTTATCTTTTTAAAATGGATGTTGAAAGTTCCTGGCTTGGCGGGTGGGGGTGGAGAAACCTGAGAGATTTGGGAGTAACAACTCTGACAGAACATTGGTCTAGGACTGTGGAGGTTCGTGGAACTGCTTGGCCATGGGCGACGGTGGACCAGTTAACTCTTGCTCAGTCTACAATCCCTTGCCAGGATGATTACCCTCGTCACGTTATGGTGTCCCTAGCTTCTTGGGAGAAGAAACACATTAAAAAATTATAGTTAGGAAAGGTCTTGAATGGAAGACTTCGGTTTGGAAGTGTTTTTGGGGGGAGCATTCCGCTTTACCATGTCAGATCACGCAGGGCAACGATTGAAATTCACAAACATAAACAGAAATTTCAACAGGAAAGAAGAGAGTTTAAAAACAAATAGGACATGGCTTCCTGTCCTGAAAAACACAAAAGGCTTTACATCAGACAATAGCACTACAGATAAGATTAGAATTTCAACAACCTCCTCAGGAAGCAGGAAACCTTCTCAGGAAACAAAAGAACCTCCTCAGGAAAGCTCCTCCATTAGCATGTCCATAGCCTGGGGAACTCCTACAAGACAATGACTCAGCCCTACCCCACCTTCTGGAGTAGATATAAATTTACTGCCTACCATTTTCTTCTCACCTTGACACAGAGAGTACTCCATCTTTCTGTGTTATACCTCTGAGGATGCCAGTCACAGTTACTGGCGAAACGTCAGGTCCTACATGCCAAGACCACGGCCACCCATCCCGGAAAATCTACAGCAACTAATGAACTCCGGCCGTGAAAGCCTTCGAGAAGCATTCCGGTTGTCTGCATCCTTTATCCCGGATTATCTAAAGGAGCAGAAATACCTCTTTACCTCCTGGGGGGTTCCCCTCCCCACAATCTCTCTCCCTTGTGGGGCATATTCCCGTCGTCAAAAACAAACATGACTCCCCCCGCCACCGTGGTCTACCGACACATTCTGAATTTCTCAAGCTGAGGTCCACCAACACTCAGGAAATTGTTCGTTGGAAACCTAACTCTTCTGAGGGAGGAAAGTTCCCCAGCTCCAGAGCCAGAAATGTCCCAGCTGGATCGGACCTGAGTGGATTTGGGCTGGTTTTCCATCTCTCACAGTGGCTGGCTTGATGCCTCTAGCAACCTGCTGGCCGGTTGACTAGCCGCCTTCTGGCCTGGGCTCTTTTAAGAATCTATGGCAGGCTCAGGGAAGGCTGTGGGGCATGGCCCCTGTTCTGATGGGGCAGGGGGGGCGGGTATATGAGGAAGCCCTGGTCAGGGGTCACCTTCACTCCCTCCCTCTTGACCGGCTCATAAGGTCCCTCGGAAGGCTGAAGGACAGTTGGAGGTTCTGTGGTTCAAGGGTTAAAAAAACTGGGCGTGCCAAACGCAAACTTTCCAGCACGCATTTGATAAGGCCCTGCAGTTTCGCTGGGTTTGATCTTGGTGCAGGATTCAGCCTCCCGAGAACCTCTCTGTGGATGTGCATCTGTTCTATGCTTCCCCCTCTAAAAAAACCCACAAGTTTGACGTCTTAAGTCCACAGAATTCATCTTGAAAACAAGTGAAGCGATGTCCGGTCCTTTACAGCGCAGTCCTAAGAATACTTTCCTGGGAGTAAACTCCGTTCGGTAGATCCAAGTAGGATTGTGAGTAGACCTGCTTCAAATTGCTCTCTTGGTGTCTGGAGTGTTCTTTCCTCTACTCCAATGTGGCCTGTAAAAATCAAATGATGGGTGGTGGTGGTGGGGGAAATAAAACATATCTGCAAGTTTGTTTTTGCATAATTTTATTGAGGATCTCTTCTGCTTCAGGATCTGCTCATCTTTCTCCGTAGACAGCGTTGGCCTTCCCTTCCCCAGGAAAAGAAACAAAATACCTCTTATTGAGGCCAACTCAGATGACCCAAAACCAGGCCCGTAGCTAACATGGGGCCCATGGGGCCCAGCCCCCTTGTGTTTCTTCTGGGCCCCCTCCCTCCAGGGCTGCCCCCAAAGTGCTCCAACTTACCACCTGCACTGTACTTCCATTTAATTAGCTGGCGGCCCCCCCCCAAGGCCCCCTCCCAAAGGATTCCCTAGCTATGGGGCTGCCCAAAACATGGCACAACCTTTCCAGTGCTGTAGAGCCCTTCATTAGACGGATGTGATACAAATTTTAAAAAACGGAGGAGCAAGGAAAAGCAATGTTTCCAAGCCTGGAATTGGATCTTGAGACCAGGTTACAGCACCCCCTGTTGTTGGTTGCTGGCAAGATCACTGTGTGATAATTGCTGGTTACAGGGCTTGGAGGAATATGGGGTTGCAGTATCTGTTCTATGCTTCCCCCTCTAAAAAACCCCACAAGTTTGACGTCTTAAGTCCGCAGAAATCATCTTGACAACAAGTGAAGCGATGTCCGATCCTTTAAAGCGCAGTCCTAAGAATACTTTCCCGGGAGTAAACTCCGTTCGGTAGATCCAAGTAGGATTGTGAGTAGACCTGCTTCAAATTGCTCTCTTGGTGTCTGGAGTGTTCTTTCCTCTACTCCAATGTGGCCTGTAAAAATCAAATGATGGGTGGTGGTGGTGGGGGAAATAAAACATATCTGCAAGTTTGTTTTTGCATAATTTTATTGAGGATCTCTTCTGCTTCAGGATCTGCTCATCTTTCTCCGTAGACAGCGTTGGCCTTCCCTTCCCCAGGAAAAGAAACAAAATACCTCTTATTGAGGCCAACTCAGATGACCCAAAACCAGGCCCGTAGCTAACATGGGGCCCACCACGGGGCCTGGCCCCCTTGTGTTTCTTCTGGGCCCCCTCCCTCCAGGGCTGCCCCCAAAGTGCTCCAACTTACCATCTGCACTGTACTTCCATTTAATTAGCTGGCGGCCTCCCCCAAGGCCCCCTCCCAAAGGATTCCCTAGCTATGGGGCTGCCCAAAACATGGCACAACCTTTCCAGTGCTGTAGAGCCCTTCATTAGACGGATGTGATACAATTTTTAAAAAACGGAGGAGCAGGGAAAAGCAATGTTTCCAAGACTGGAACTGGATCTTGGGACCCGGTTACAGCACCCCCTGGTGTTGGTTGTTCGCAAGATCACTGTGTGATAATTGCTGGTTTTAGATAACAGGGCTTGGAGGAATATGGGGTTGCAGTGCCACACTGCAGAAGAAGAAGAGTTAGTTTCAGGGCTGTTTTTGGGCAGGAACGCACAGGGACGGAGTTCCGGCTGGCTTCAGAGATGGCCACGCCCACTACAGCCAAAACCTCTGTGTGCGTGGCTACAGAGGGAAGGCCTGGAGAGCGACCCCCCC